AAAGAAAAGAAAAGAAAAGAAAAGAAAAGAAAAGAAAAGAAAAGAAAGAAAGAAAGAAAGAAAGAAAGAAAGAAAGAAAGAAAGAAAGAAAGAAAGAAAGAAAGAAAGAAATTAAAGGAAGAATAGATAGCCAAACCACAATGGGCTACTTTAATGAATTTAATCTGCTTTGGTAACTCAAAATTGAGGTCAGTTTGGGACACCGTGCAATTAAGCAACTGTTTTCCAAAAGCAGGAAAATGAACATTACGGAGTTTAAAAGAGGTTTCCAAACAGCTGTCTGCAGAATAAGGCCATTACTGTCAACCTTTCCCCAGCAAACAGAAGCGGTCTCCTACCAGGAAACCACAGGAGCAACGTGTGTCTGTGTCTGTGTGTGTGTCTGTGTGTGTGTGTGTGTGTGTGTGTGTGTGTGTGTGTGTGTGTGTGTGAAGGATATTAATGTATTCCATATCCTTCTTTGGCTTACTTACACGCAATTGAATTACTTCTCTTTTGTAATGTAAAGCAGTTCTTGGTCACCCGAATTACAAAGTTCCCCTTCGGCTTGGCTGTTTGAGTAAATTAAATGATAAGGAGGAAAGTGGAGGAGAGAAAAGAAAGAGAGAGAGAGAGACAGCGACAGAGACAGAGAGGTTGAGAGAGAGAGGTTGAGAAAGACACAGGGAGTGAGAGAGATTGAAGAGAGAAAGATAGACAGAGGTTCAAAAGTTGAGAGAGTGAGAAATTAAGTGAGAGAGAGAAAGAGAGGAAGAGAGGGAGTCAGAGAGGGAGAGAGAAGAGAGAGAGAAAGAGAGAGGGAGAGGGAGAGAGAGGGAGGGAGGGAGGGAGGGAGAGAGAGAGAGAGAGAGAGAGAGAGAGAGAGAGAGAAGGGAATAATCTCTTTTGCATTTCAAAAGAATGAAAATGTCAAAATAAAAAAACCAGAGGCTGCTAAGTGGTAGAGGAGGCTGGTGGGGTGGGACGATAAACTAGGGATTTTTGTGGAGGAAGAAAAAAGGCAGCCATGTTGAGCAGCCATCTTTGACAGATTCTATTCAGGTAGATAATGAAAAAGAATGGGACATTATGTTTGCTAATGTCATGCTCCGGAGCGTAACTCTTTTGCAATTCTGGGTTTAAATTTGTGTTGTATTCTTTTGTTGTTGTTTTTTCTCTCTCCCCCCCCCGCCCCATTTTTTTCAGAGTTTCATCTCCCTCCTAATAGGCCTGTGGATCTGCATCAGGGATGCCCTAGCCAAGACTGGGAGAGCCCCTCCCAACAACAAGATTATTTTGGTAGGACGAGTTTCCCAAATAAAATCGCTTCTCGGTAGGATGAGCTTTTGGGCCACCCCACCCCACCCCAGGCTAGAGGGACAAGACTGAAGCCTTGTTGTCATGGATGTCCCTCTACCATTCCAGACAAGTGGCTGTCCAGCCTCTTCTTCAAAGCCTCCAGTGATGGAGCACCCACAACTTCTGGTGGCAAGCTGTTCCACTGCTTGATTGTCCTCACTGTTAGGAAGCTTCTCCTTAATTCCAGGTTTTTCTCTCCTTGATTTGTTTCCATCCGTTGCTTCTTGTCTTGCTTTCTGGTACTTTGGAAAATAGTTCGATCCCCTTCATCCTTGGGGCAGCCCAGGGGCAGCCATGGTTGCCCAGTGCCCAAATTTCGTTCCCTTGACATGGAGATGCTTCGAAGTGCGAGGACTGGTTGAAATCACTTCTTTCAGTGCTGGTTTAACCTCAAACAATCACTAAATAAATGATTTTAAGTGAAGGACCACCAGTACTTAGGGATCTTTCTCCAAGAGTTGCAGCACCCTGGACAGCTCCTTTCTGTCAGAAAGCCACTTGAAGCAACTGGAAGCCTTTGAAATGTGGATTTACAGGGGACTGTTAGGTATAAGTTGGGTTGACAAAATCGGAAATGAGGAGGTGATAAAGCTGCCTGGGAAAGCCAAGGGGAATCATCAAAACCATAAAAAAGCAAAAAGTTGGAATATTTCAGACCTGTGATGCGACACCCGGGAAAATACATCCTGGACATAAACTGTTTCAACTCCTACCCTCCAAACGACGCTATAGAGCCCTGCACACCAGAACAACTAGACACAAGGAGAGTTTTTTCCCCCATGCCATCACTCTGCTAAAAAAATAATTTCCACAACACTGTCAAACTATTTAGTAAGACTGTATCATTATTATTATTATTCTCATCCCTCCTATTACCTATCTCTTCCCAATTATGACTGCATGAATGTAACTTTGTTGCTTGTATCCTTATGGTTTTTTATTGACTGTTTACTAGTATAATTTGATTTGATTTGATCGCTCATTGTTATGTTTCCTGGTATGATTTGATTGCTTATTTGTACCCTTTGACTATTATTAAGTGTTATACCTATGATTCTTGATGAATGTATTTTTTTCCCTTTTTCTTTTTATGAACACTGAGAGCATATGCACCAAAACAAATTCCTTGTGTGTCGAATCACACTTGGCCAATAAAGAATTCTATACTCTATTCTACTCTACTCTACTCTACTCTACTCTACTCTACACTACTCTACTCTACTCTACTCTACTCTACTCTACTCTACTCTACTCTATTTATCTTCTATTCTATTCTATACAGCATACTTCACTTAATCCTCCAGGGAAAGTTTGAAAGCAGATAAGGTCCAAGCAGAAGAAGAACATTGTGGCTTCAAAATCTAAGGGACTGGTTGGGATAAAACTCAGCAGTCCTTTTTCATATGGCTGTTGATAAAAATAGGATCGCCAACATGTTTGCCAACATCCGATAACGGATATGGCACAACAACAAGAAGAAGGACAGCTCCTTCCATCCTACATTGTCTTCCATCCTTCCATCCTTCTGCCTTCCCCGTTTCAGCGTTATCAACCATGCAATTCTTTCTATTTCATAACCAAATCACCCACATCTTAGGAGAAAACTGGCAGGAAAGAAAGCATTGCAGCTGCAGACCGTATAGCAGCCTTGCCAATAAAATAAGCCGAAAGAGAAACCCTCAACCACCAAGCCGCACAATGGGAACGCAACCGGTACAAAACTGAAACATGAGAAAGAAAGAAAAAAAGTGCATGCAGCCAATGTGATTTAATGGTCAAAGCTGGGGACTTCATAAAATCAATGAACTGTAGGCCCGTCAGACAAATTGACTAAAAGATTTAACTGCATACTCAATTATGAATAACCGCAAGTGGGTTGCGAACATTTTAGGAGTATCAGAGGATTTGAGGTGATTACCTTTCATTATGTCTCTGCAGAGAAGGGGAGGAGGAGGAGTATCATGCCGGCCACCATAATGAGGCTGGGCGTAAGTCAATATTTTAAGAAAGGAGCTCTTTTCAAGGGACAAAAAGAACTGAAATCAAGGGCGGCCGTGTGGGGGTGGGTGGGGAAATAGCCTTCCAGTGAGACAAAATGAATGCATACAGACTTGGGGTCTATTGTGCTTGGGAAAACCATTGTTTAGAAGTGTGTTTTTGAGTGGAATGACGAGTCTAGAATATAACTCAGAACAGGAAATGGAAAAAAAATCAGGTTCCCTCTCAGTTGGGACCAGTCGCTCAACTTTATTAGCATTCGGGGACTCTCTGGACTGATTTCTTCTTCTCCTTCTTCTTCTCCTTCTCCTTCTTCTTCTTCTTCAGACAGATTGTATTAACTGTCACTTCAAATAAATCTAGAGCAATCTCGCTTCATGTACGGTATGGTTTGCACAATTGCACAACAATCTCTAGATGCACTGGTAAAATGGGCCAGGAAATCATGATTATTTAGCTGTATTAAGGGGAAGGAAGAAAGGAAGGAGGGAAGGGAGGGAGGGAGGGAAAGAGAGAGGGGGATGGAGGGAAAGAAGGAAGGAAGATAAATGGATGGGGAGGGAGGGAGGGGAGGGGAGGGGAGGGGAGGGGAGGGGAGGAAGGAAGGAAGGAAGGAAGGAAGGAAGGAAGGGAGAGAGAGGGACGGAGGGAAAGAAGGAAGGAAGATAAATGGATGGGGAGGGAGGGAGGGAGGGAGGGAGGGAGGAAGGAAGGAAGGAAGGAAGGAAGGAAGGAAGGAAGGAAGGAAGGAAGGAAGGAAGGAAGGAAGGAAGGAAAAGAGAGAGAGGGGGAAGGAGGGAAAGAAGGAAGGAAGATAAATGGATGGGGAGGGAGGGGAGGAAGGAAGGAAGGAAGGAAGGAAGGAAGGAAGGAAGGAAGGAAGGAAGGAGCAATAGCACTTAGCCTCATATACTGCTTCATAGTGCTTTAGAGCCCTCTCTAAGCGGTTTACAGAGTCATCATATTGCCCCTAACAATGAGCTAGGTTCTCATTTTATCAAGGATGGAAGGCTGAGTCAACGTTGAAGTAGTCAGGGTCAAACTGCTGGCAGTCAGCAGAATTAGCCTGCAATACTGCATTCTAACCACTGTGGCACCATGGGAAAGAAAGAAAGAAAAAGAGAAGGAAGGAAGGAAGGAAGGAAGGAAGGAAGGAAGGAAGGAAGGAAGGAAGGAAGGAAGGAAGGAAGGAAGGAAGGAAGGAAGGAAGGAAGGAA